AGGAACGATTGGGTGAAAAGTCTGGAAAAGGGGGAGAGGGTGGTGAAGGTGTATATATATATATATATATATATATAGTTGGAAGAAGGAGAGTCTGTAATTAACTGAACGATGAGAGGTGGAATACTCTCCCGTTTGAGTCCCTGAGAATCCCCGGGGATCTGACCCGTCGTATCAGACGCCAAACACTCGCTCCCTCGCCACGTTCAAGTTTCGCTACGATAATTGCCTTCCCTTTACTGTCGCGCCAATACTCACTCACACACATACAAACACGCACAGCAATGATACTTGAATCACTTTAGAAGTTGAGCAAATTTGCGTTTACTATTTTATGAACAGTTATCATATTTTATTTCTTATTGGTATTGTTTTCTCAGATATAACTTTAGGTTTTTTTAACATCAGGGGAATACACAAAAATCACTTTTTTTTTTTTTAGAAAATTTCATGCCGTATAAGTGTTCAAAGGGTTACCTGTTAAATTTTCGAATCAAATTTAAAAAAAATTTTTAAATTAATAAACTTAACTCTCGAAGGCAAAAAAAAAAAGTCTTACGATAGTTCCAAGGGTGGATAAAGAGCTCCAAAATAAGAGTTAACGGGTTTTAGTGGATTGGAGCTGGTAGCAGTAGTATTTTAAAATTTTTTTTAGGATGAGTTATTTCCGGTATTTTTTGATAAATCACAAAAAGGATTTAGAGAAATTGTCTAGCAATGCTAAGGAGATCAAATTTTTCATAATATCAACCCCCACTTTGGAAAGATTCCCCGGAATGTGCCCCCTGGAGGTTCTATCAGAATTCCGCCTGAACTTCTAACGGAATTCCATCGGAGTTCCAAAGAATTTCCGTTGGGATTCCGACGGAAGTAGGACTTTAAAAATTTTGAAAAAAATTAATCGGAATCCCATCGGAAATTCTTTGGAATTCCGATGGAATTACGTTGGAAGTTTCGGCGGAATTTTGATAGAACCTCCAGGGGGCACTTTCCGTGGAATCTTTCCAAGTGGGCCGATTTCAGAAGGGACCAAAAAATGCCCTTATTGACCCTTTTTTTTAGTTCTTTAGAAAAAATTTAAATGTAATTGATCAAAGAAAATTAAAAAAAATTTGCAAAATTATAAAAAAAAAAAAAATTTTTTTTTATTAAAGAAGGTAGAGCTACTTTTGGTGAAAGTAAAAAAAAAAAACGTCATGGCGATTTTCCGATGCGTGAATTATATATAGGATTGGAATATAGAAGCTTATATATCAAATATATATGTTCTTTGACTTCTTTATTACATGAATATCCATTTCCGGTTTTCTAGTCTAGACTTGTACTGTGTAATAAGGAAGAGCCAACGTTCTCTTTATTATGTATTACGTTTTCGCCTATTTCCGCGAAGTAAAATAATTTTTTAATTATATATATATACAATAATTTTTATTGTACAAAAAAATAGGTCAAGAAAAAGACCATATAGAGACTTTAAATTTTAATTATTTTTTGACATTGTTTTCATAAATAAATTTTTTATCAAAATTCTACATAAGACAAACGTTTTTTTCAAAATTAGTCCAAAATTTTTATTCATTTCTTAATTACCTGCATAATATAATTTATACCTAATAATAATAATATAATAATAATAATAATAATAATAAAGTATAAGAAAATAATTACAAATTTTATAAATGGAATTTTTTTTTAGTTTCACTTTTAATTAACAATTGATGATTAATTTTGCAAAAACGGAAGTCTTATGAAGAATTTCGTATATATATATATATATATCTTTTTATGCGTCATCGTGAACTTATTTTAAAATTTTTCACACAATTATTTTAAAATTATTATTATCTAAAGTAGGTCAGGGACTTTCATGCCATTGAGAGCAACATTTATGCCAAAGATGAGAGACTAATTTTGCAAATTTATGAATTTTATTAGAAAATTAAATTGTCAGGTGGTCTACACTATATCATAACCAGGTTATGTCTCAGAATAAAAATATTGCTTTTTTGTAACGGTACGGATAAACGGTAATATATAATCAGGGAAATATAATAAAAAAAAAAAAAGAAAAATTGGTATAATTACCTCTCAATTTTACCTCATTTTCATTGTGTCCTCGTTACGCGTTAAATTTATAGGTTATGTTTCAATTTTTTTAAAAATAAAAAAAAAATTTTTCCACAAATTATTTTTTTGTTATAAAAAAAATTTAAGATAACAATACAAATGAAACAATCTTTTTAGTTACGATTTGTTTGAATACTTATTTCTAATTTGCATGTATAAACTTAAAAATTATTAAATAATTATATTTTTTTAAAGAGAATATATGTAATATTTTTCTTTCGGTGGAAAATGGTCACTTGTATATAACTTATTTGAATTAACGCGAAAGGATGACACATCGGTTACACAACGTCTTTCCGGATTTTATATATACATATATATTTTTTTTTAATTAAAAATTACGTGAGGTTCACTTTTATGAAAGTTTCACAAATTACTTTTGCAATAAGTGCGGAGAAAGGAGATTTTAAAATAAAAATGATTCTTTAAAAATCGAGGAAAAGAATTAAAATTATATCTAGGAAGTTAAATAATAAAATTTTGTTTGGAAATTGAAAATTTAATTGATAACATTATTTTTTTTTTAAATTAATAATAATAATAAGTAGTTTGAAAAAATTGATATCTTTGAGGAAAATTTTTTTTTCAATTCATAGTCGTTTTTGAACGATTAATGATTTAAAATTCAAAACTGCAATTAATTATATATTTCTTTCTTTTTAGTTATAGAATTTTATAAACACTGATTCGTGGTCACGTGCACTTTACTCGCGTAATATTAAAATGAAATGAAATAAAATGAAAATGAATAGCACGACTTATATTCTATAAAGGTATATATATATATATATATGTAGCTCACCTTGCGTGTACATTAAACTTCAGAGAAAGTAATACTTTCTTGAAAAGTCAGCTCGTATCAAACGTTTCTTAATTGCAACCTGCTACGATTAAGATTCACTCTAAACGAAAGTGTTTCCCCCGGAAACATTGATTCCCATCGATAGATGATTAATTTGTTTTTTTTTTTTTTATCGAATTCTTTTTTTTTAACCTATACCATTAATAATTTGTCCCTCATTTTAGAAACATAAATTTAAAATAAATCAGATCCAATACTGATTCTAAAAAAGGTAAATTAGATTTTAGAATGTAAAATTTTTTTTCTAATCCTTAAAGGGTATTTAAAAAATAAATCCGCGGGTATTTAGATACCGAGATTGCGTATACTTGTAATTTTGTTGATCTTTTAAAATCCAACCCTTTGATTGGAGAATTTTTCTCTGACTATTATTATTAGGGTTATTATTAGGCTTTACTTTAAAGGTGAAAGTTTCTGGGATTTACATTTGCCAACCTTTCTGACCTATATTTTTTCCTAGTTTTTGCGAGAGTAAATTTTTCTTTGGCTTTGGACGAACAAATTTTGGGCTCTTGTTTCCCAACCCTGTTTGTTTACAAATTGTCATTTATGTCGATTATATATGATATTGTGTAATAGGAAATTATTATTTTCATTAATTGACAACGCATTAGAAATATTTATCAAGCGTGCATTACTTAAATTTTGTTCATTTATAATAAATAAATTATTGATAATTATTTGAACCATAAAAATAATTAAAAATTTTCAAGTGTTTTGATTGTGAACTTAACTTAAATCTTATGTGATAAATATAAATAAAGGTTAGTGTATTTCATTTTATTTCGAAATAAATTTTTTCTTATTTAATTGCTCGCAATTTATAATAAGATACCAATTCAGGTATCAAAAAATGATCCCATATTCTGGATCATTTCTTGAAAATGATTCAAATATTTGGATCAATTTGATACCTTATATCGAATCAAAACGTTGCATTCCAAAATGATACCATATCAAGTTTACAGTGAGGATCTTAGATCATAGGGTTGTCAGATTTCCAGCTTCCTACCTCCTCGGAAACATTTTTGCTGGACTTTATCTTTTTGTATAAAGCCATATTGGATCCGTCATTTTGAATTTTGAAAATCTGATTTCAAATTTGGAATCAGCGACCCCAACGAGTGACAAGCCGATTGCGTTTTTTCAAAATGTCGTCCGCGCTTTTTGAATTTTGAAAAAGTAACACCGGATTCGTTATTAGCGACCCCCCCCCCCCCCCCCCCCCGGGTAACGAATTTCAAATGAATGCGATGAATTAAAAAAAAATCGTCCGCCATTTTGAATTTTGATAATCTGACTTCAAATTTGGAATAAGCGATCCCAAAAACCCCCGCGTAACAAGTTTCTTAGATATTTGTCTACTGTTTTAATAGTGTGACTAAAAGAATTAATGTCAAATATTTTAGCGGCCATTTTGGAGGCGCCATTTTGAATTTTGAGAAAATAAAAATTTCTTACAATCACCAAATGAAAGGGCAGACATTTTAAACGCGATATTTTTTCATTTAAAATTTTTCCCAAACTCGATTTCGAATCAAAAATATAGTTTTGATGAAAAAAAATCATCTTTTTTTTTTTTTTTTTTTTTGTTTAAACATATAAATATAACTTTTTTTTCATCCTTAAGTCAAAAGTTAAATTTTCTTGTAAATTCTGAACGAGGACTTAAAAAAAACATACGAAATATGTATTGTCAATTTTTTTTTTAAGTGCATGAATAATAATAATAATAATTTAGAAAATTCTTAATATAATTGAATTAATTAATTCTAATTTTATTATATTTTAAAAAAAATTTTAATCAATAATATTAAAATATTCATAAAAGTGACAATTTTCTGAATTTTCAAAAATAGAAAATTAATTTTTGCTTAAACTACCAAATATTTTTTAAAATTAATAATTTTGTTAATTATTGCCGAGAAGAAAAATCAAAAATTTTCATATTCATAAAAAAATGTTTATCAAAAGAAAGCAGATATTTGGGGTTTATAAATAAAGTCTCCTATTTTTTTTTATAAAAATATTTTTTTATTTATCTACATTATATATATAAAAAAAAAGTGACATGCTTTTGTTTTTGTTTTTCTGACGTGGCAGTTTTTCGTGCTTCTTTATATGCAAATTTGCAAAAAAAAAAAAACAATAAATACAAAATAAAATTATTAGCGAGTTTCACCGAGCGTAACTTGAGATTGAATCTATCCATCGTTATAGTATAGTTGTCTTGAATTTCCTTTACCTTTAAAGCAAAGCAAAGAGAAATCGTCGAATTTACAAAACATTATAACGTGATTGTGACAAAATTTTTTCCATAAATAAGGCTGTTTTCCTTTTCTTTTTTTTTTTTACAAATTTTTAAATAAAAATTACTGATTTTATTAGAAAAATAATTTTACTTTATAGCAAAAAAAAAAAAAAAATTATGGAAATTATTTATTTATTTTTTTTTTTTTGAAATTAAATTAAATTCTAAATTTTGTTTATTGTTCAAAAATCGCATTTAAATAATTCAAGCGGATATTTAAATCCCCTTTCGTCACTGAAAATATTAATTTATATATCCGCGAATAAAAACACATATATATCACAAACGTGTTTTATCACTTCTATCATGAAATTTTTGTTTCAGTATTTTATGACAAAATTTTCCATTTTAACTATAACTGATTAATAATCATTGGTCGGTTGATAATTTGAGTATTTGGCGCATGCGTCAACAAAATGGCCGCCCTCCACTTGACGACTTTAACAGAGCTGTACAATTACAATTATCATTGAAATTTATTTTTTCCCTCTAAATTTGTTTCTGTAAAATTGAACTTTTTTCAAAACTATATCATATACAATCGTGAATTTCAAAAAAGGGTCATTTTCGCATAACAAAATTGATAGTGAAAATAATTCTTTATGATTTTTAAAGTTGATCCCTTTTCGAAATTACAAATTTATTGGACCAATGAGGAAATTTAGATATTAAAAAAAAATAGTTGTTTCTAAAATTGTGTTTCTAAATTTTGTCAACCATGATGAGAGTATTCACCGTAACCACCGTTGCTTTCAATTCCTCCCTCATCACCATGACCATGATGATGTTCATGATGAACGTGAACTGGAACTGGAACCTTAACGGGATAGGGTACTGGTTTTTCAACAGGAATATGTTCAATTTTCTCAACAATATAGGGTTTATCAACGGGAACTTTAACTGGATAGGGTACAGGTTTCTCAACTGAATAGGGAACATGTTTATAGACAGTATAGGGTTTTGGTACTGGTACTTTAACATGAACTGGATAGGGTTTCTCAACGGGAACTGGATATGGTTTTTCCACTGGTACTTTCACCTCATAGGGCACTGGTTTTTCAACTGTTACAGGATAATGTTTCTCCACAGTGACTGGATAGGGTTTTGGTACATGAACCGGATATGGTTTATCAACAGGAACTTTCACCTCATAGGGTATATGTTTCTCAACAGTGTAAGGCTGTGGAACGGGAATTTTCACCTTCACTGGATATGGTACATGTTTTTCAACGGTATAGGGTTGTGGAACGGGGACTTTGACTGGAACTGGAACATGTTTCTCGACAGTGTAGGGTTGTGGAACAAGGACTTTTACCTCGTAGGGTTTATCGACAGGTACTTTCACTTCGTAGGGGACTTTTTTCTCAACTGTATAGGGTTGTGGTACGTGTATTGGTACTTTGACAAATACCTTGACTGGATAGGGTACATGTTTCTCAACGGTATAGGGTTGTGGTACTTTGACTTTGACTTCGTAGGGTACGTGTTTTTCAACAATATAGGGGACGTGTTTGGTGACTTCGTAGGGTACGGGAACTTTTTTCTCAACTGTCACGGTTTTCACGTGTTCATGATGATCGTATGATGAATGAGCATCACCAATGGAGTCATCACCACCACCGCCGCCGCCACCGCCAAAGTCACCGTACGAGTGGCTGAGGCCTCGTTTTTCTGTTTTTCGTTCGACATTTGTCTCTGAGGATTTTTTCTCCTCAATTGAACTGCTGACCAAACTGATCAGCAGCGCCAGAAGAACGATGTGAATCTGAAAAATTAGTTTTTCGAAAATTAATATATATATATTTTTTTAAAATTATATTTAATTAATATTTTTGAATTTAATTTTTATTCTATTTTTATTTAACCCTAGACAGCACAAAACATAGCTGGCTAATACGTAGAAGCACATCTGGGGTAGAAAACAACCCCAAAATTTTTCTGTTTGCTAGAATGTTTTTATTTAACGCAAAATAACTTTATTATATATGTTATTTTCTTCGTTTTTTTTTATAAGAAAGAAGGTAGCGTTTTTTGTTTTTTGATAGAATCAAAAATATGGATAAAAAATTACAGAAAACACAAAATCTGCAAAAAATACTGAAATTTGATTTTTTTCTGGGGTAGTTTTCTACCCCAGATGTGATTTCTAGGGTTAATTTTAAAAATTGGAAAAAAAATCATTATTATAATATTATTATAAATTTATAATTTTCGAGGATAAATAACCTATAATTTTTTATTTATGTAGAAAATAAAATAATTATTTCTAAATGCTTTGACAAGTAGCGGAAATTTGACGATTAAGTTTCAAGTATTGCGCGCAAAAAGTGGGGGTAACGATCTGTGATTGGCTTTCGTGTAACCTTGACCGCTGCGCCGCGCAGTGTTTTAATTAACATAGTGATGGGGCTAAAACGAAGTTGATGATAGTAATATTATTATTATTATTATTATTATTATTATTATTATTACTATTATTATTATTACTATTATTATTATTACTATTCTTATTACTATTACTATTACTATTATTATTTTTTTTCTTGCTTAGGGACTTTTGGGAAATCTGTATACAGATACCTTAACTTCCGCATGCCAAGGTTATGTAGGGTTGGTAAAAAAAAAAGAATATTATTATTACCATTATTGTTTAATATTATTATTTGTATAATTTTTAAAGATAATAAAGTTGTTAATTGTGATTAACAAGAAAAAAACGAAATTAACTTTTATGAAAATAAACGTGGGACAGAATTTAATTTTTTTTTTTTGCAAACACTAAAGGAAGATATAAGTGAAAGTTTATTGAGTAATGAAAAGTCATTAATTGACGAAATTAAATTAAAAAAATATGACGTAATATGTGCGAATCAATTTTATCACTATCTCTTCTTATGTAAAGTGAATTTTTAATTACTTGCAAAATTTGTAATTAAAGGAATAAAAATCAGGAAATATATTTAACACGGAAATTAAGTTCCAATTTGATATAAGCAATTACTAAAAATATTACAATAAAAATTAATTTTATATTATCAATTTTGTTATAATTAGAGTTGGATAAATTAATTTATTGGCATATATATATATAATAATTATTCTTTATAATCACTATTTAATTAATAATTAATTAAATAACACGATCATAGAAAATTAATAGGTATTAAAATAAGCGTTGCAACTTATTTTAATGCCTTTTAATTTTCTGTGATATTATTGAATTGATATTAATAAATTGTATAAATATATATATAACCAAATGTAATATTTTTAATAAAAATTTGTAATTAGATTTTTTTTTTTAATTATCGAAGTAATTGAAATTATATAACAGATAAAGTTATCGTAATAAGGAATTAAAATTATGATGATGATGATGATGATGATGATAATAATAATGATAATAATAGTGATAATTATGATAATGATAGTAAACAATTTGATTTGCATATACAATTGGTAATTAAAAGTAACTTTCACACAGTGAAAGTTAATCATTAATTAATGCAATTATTCATGAATTATAAATGTCGATAGATTCTGCAATTTAGTTTAATATTTTAGAAATTTTTTTTTAAATTTTAGAACTCAAAAACAATTTTAGAACAAATTTAATAGAATTTGCGATTAAAATATACAATTTTTTCACTATTTATATATAAATATTTTCAATATATATCGAATTTATAATTATCTTATAATTTATAATATATTTATTATTCTTTATAATTATTTATAATCATTTATAATTATATAATTATAAATAAATAAGTAATTAGTATAAATTAATATAATTAAATTAAATTAATTATAATAATAATAATTATATATATATAATTATGTAAATTATAATCACACCCAATTAAAAGTTTAGTTTTTTATCAAAACTAAATAAAATTAATTCACAAAAAATTTAAAAGGCATTAAAATAAGCTGCAACGTTTATTATTTTAATCCCTTTTGGTATTAAAATAAGCAAAATTGGATTAAAATAATAAGCGTTGCAGCTTATTTTAATGCCTTTTAATTTTCTGTGATTTAAATTAAATTTATTTTTTATAAAAATCACTTAAAAACAGTTTACAGTTTGAATGTTAAATAAAATTTCCCACTAATTGTAAAAAAAAACAATTATTGTTATACCCTCACATTTTTAAAGTAACTATTTCTTAAAACCAAAAGAAAAAATCGTTATTTTGAAATTATAATAAAAAAAAAAATTAATTTAAATAATATAAAATTGAATTGTCGTAGAAAAAAAGCAGGAAATTTAAATCGCGAAAGTAATTTTCCCCACACACATACACACATTCAGGGGACACCTTAGTGGGCGCGATATTTATGCGGAAGTGAATCTTGTTTTTCTTGTCCACTTTTGCAAACTGTACACACAACAAATACACGGACTTACCTTAAAATACATTGTACAGCTCGCGCGTGTTTTAGCGTGGCATTCAACCACAAACTGAACCGCTACCTTTTCTAGTTACAGCTTTATATACTCCAGGGTATAATAACCCGACACTTTCCCTGCACCTCGTCGCTCATATTATGGTTGAATGTGCGTTTCCTTTGCATTTGAGCAAAAAAAAAAAAAAAAAAGAGAAGTAATAATAATCATAATAATGATAAGCAAAAAAAAAAAATCTTACTAACTTGATTATTTGTTTCAATGTAAATAGTATTATTCTTGATCTGTTGAAAATTGATGGAATAATATATCTATTTTATTATTATTATTATTATTATTATTATTATTATTACTATAAATAAATGGCAATGACGAAACATTTAGGATCAATCTTCAAAATTATTCCATGTCTTAGTCGAAGTAAAGCGCAACTCCAGGGGAATTATATCCAACACTTCCGGTTTGAAATCTGGCGAAAGTTTCGGATTAGGAAGTTGATCGGACCTATTTCGATTCAGGGCAAGTTTTTTCCTATTTTTTTTTTTTTTTTTTTTTTCTTTAAAGTTGTTATTTTAATTCCCCCGACAACTCAATGTCATTTTCAGGTTTCGCTTATGTATATATAAACACATTGCGAGCGTTTATTTCTTTTTCCATTTTTTATTCATTCATTTGCTATTTATAATGTTTTAAACGAAATATGATTTATTTGAATTAAATATATAGAAAATATATTTTTATCGGAGCTATAATAATTATATTTATTTGAACTACACGGAAAAAGAAATTAATAATTTACAGAAACTAACGAATATTTTTGCTAAAAGTTGATAAATTTATTTATTTAGTGAATTAATTGATTATTGAGTGATGGATTGATTGCTTGGTAGATTGATAGTCGTATTTCATTACCCTAATAACACAAGATATCTTGGGATATATTGATAATATCCCGCAGATATCCTAGGGATGTCCTATGGATATCAAAAGGATCTCTTAAGAATATCCAAAAAATCGGCGGTTTGGATATCCTTTGGATATCCTATGGATATCTGAGGATATTTACAGGATATCTCTATAGACTTTCATAAATGTCCTCCAGATATCCCATAGATATCGTCAGGATATCCCACAGATATCATCAGGATAACCCATAGATATCGTCAGGATATCCCACAGATATTTTCAGGATATTCTCAGTATATCTTCTGGATGTCAAAAGAAGATATTCTCAGGATACTGTTTTTAAAGTCATTATGAAACTACGAGTGAGAATATTCTGTGAATTAAATTTTATATATATAAATAAAATAAAATGCAACTTGTTTTTCGAGAAAGTTGTTTAATTTGAAAATTTTATTAACTAATTTTTTTCTCATTCGTGATTCATTCCTTTATTCATATGCTTAATATTTTTAGAAAATAAATTGGCTTTAAACAATAAAAATTCTTCCCCGCAAATAACGAATAACTATTAATATTAATTATTTATACATTAAGTGCATGAGTTTATTTAAAAACTTTGAAAAATGCGTTTCAAATCTTCATTTAAAATAAATTAGAAGCTCATAAGATTTTTGTTTTTATTATATTATTATATTCATTATATTAGCTTAACAATTTTAACCTTTAAAAATATATGTTGAAATATTAAATATCCCGTGAATATCCTAAGAATATCCCACGGACATCCTGAGGATATCCCATGGATATCCTGCGATATAATATCCAATAGATATTTCGTTGGTGTCTTAGGGATATCCTGTGGATATCCTATGGATGACCTGTTGATGTCCTACAGACCGGCGGATATCTTGGGATATCCATAGGATATCCTGGGGACCATTCTAGGATATCGACCATTGATATGGATATCCTAGGGATATCCTTTTGTTATGAGGATAATAGCTTGATTATTAAATTGATTTATTGGTGGATTGATAGTAGTATTTATTAATGGATCGATTATTGGATTGATTGATAGATTAATTGGTGGATTGATAGTGATATTGATTAATGGATCGATTATTGGATTGATTGATGGATTAAGTGATAGATTGATAGTAGTATTGATTAATGGATTGATCTGTGGATTGATTGATCGGTGGATTGATAGTAGTATTTCAATAATAGCTTCATTATTAAATTGATTTATTCGTGGATTGATGGTAGTATTGATTAATGTATTGATCTGTGAATTGATTGATAGAGTGATTGGTGGATTGATAGTAATATTGATTAATGGATCGATTATTGGATAGATTGATGGATTGATAGTAGTATTGATTAATGGATCTATTATTGGATTGATTGATGGATTAATTGGTGGATTAATAGTAATATTGATTAATGGATCGATTATTGGATAAATTGATTTGTGGATTGATAGTAGTATTGATTAATGGATTGATCTGTGGATTGATTGATTGGTGGATTGATAATAGTATTAATTAATGGATTGATCTATGGATTGATAGTATTATTGATTAATTGATCGATTATTGAATTGATTATTGGATTGATTGGTTAATTGACAGATTAATAGATTGATAGTGATTGATTGATTGATTGATTGACAGATAAAAAGATTGATAAATATATTGAGTGATTGATTGATCAGTGGATTAATAAGTGGTATTGATTAAAGCGGATTGATCTTTGTAAATTGATTCATCACCTCGCAAACAATGTATTTTATTTTTTTTTAATTTCTAACTATAAAATTTAATTTTTTTTTTAATGCAATTTCGGATGTAGTCACAATGAGTTTGTTTATCATGCCGGAAGAATGCTCAAAACACACTCTCCCATATATTAATCATATATATATATATAGGCTACAACAATGAATTAGTCTATTATATGTATTATAATATTATATAACAACTATATTATTATTGAGTTGCATACAGTTTATGAATGCTCTAGTTGTCAAAAAATGTTTGCATCGCATGCGATAAGGATCATATTGAATTGAAATAATAGATTCCACTATATATAGAAATGTCTCTTATCCAAAACTTTCATCAGGTATGTGTATATGTATGTGTATGCGTTCTCAATGAATAATAACGACACACGCGGTTAAGGGAAATAACATAATCATAAACATATCACAATGTGATTATTCATTTTCTCAATGACACTTTCACACCTTCACCGCAAAAAGTGAGACGAAAAATAAAGTTACATTATACTTTCTTTTTCAATTGTACATAATGTGATATGTCTCGCGCATATAATTTCATATAATGAAGGAATATATATATATATATGTACATTAAAGGAAACGTTTGAAATGGAAAAGATGAAAAAAAAAATTTTTTTATTCCTTGATGTGTAGAAATGATAGTGTTTTGTTATTTTTAAAAAGAAAAACGTCTTATAAACGTGGACAACAGTAATTTCCATTGAAAGAAGTTTATTATTACTTTAAAAGAAACTATATGGACTTCATGATTCGCGGATTATAAACACTTAAATATATAATGTCATATTGAAATTAGTGTCAAAGTTAGAAAAATATTCAAATTACTTTAATTATGTGTTTATATGGTTAATAATTACTTACATTTTCTGTGTGTATATGTAGTCACGTTTATTTATGTATTAACTTCTTGAATATAATTTTTTATTCATATTAATTAACTTTAAGTAATTCTATAGTTATTTAAAGTAATATTGTATCAACATAATCTCAGCGTGTACATATTTACATAAGGTAACAACTTTTTTTTTTTTTTGTTGAAAAAACCCTATGATTGTCGCTGGGTGCTTTTTTTGCTACTGCGCAGTCAAAATATAGTGGCAAATACAACTGCGCAATCTAAAAGTACATTAGAAACTACTGCGCAGCCAAAATTTTGTTTAAAATACAACTGTGTAGCCAAAATATAGTGGTAAATACAACTGCGCAGTGTAAAAGTGCATTAAAAACTACTGCGCAGCCAAAATGTAGTTTCAAATACAACTGCGCAGGCTAAAAGTTGATTATAAGATCTACTGCGCAGCCAAAATATAGTGTCAAATATAACTGCGCAGTCTAAAATTGCATTAGAAATTACTACGCAGTGACAACTGTTTCTAATGCACTTTTAGACTGCGCAGTTATATTTGACACTATATTTTGGCCACGCAGTAAAGCTTATAATCAACTTTTAGCCTGCGCAGTTGTATTTGAAACTACATTTTGGCTGCGCAGTAATTTCTAAAGCACTTTTAGACTGCGCAGTTGTATTTGCTACTATATTTTGGCTACACAGTTGTATTTGGAACTACATTTTGGCTGCGCAGTAGTTTCTAAAGCACTTTTAGACTGCGCAGTTGTATTTGCTACTATATTTTGGCTGCGCAGTAGTTTCTAATGCACTTTTAGACTGCGCAGTTGTATTTGCTACTATATTTTGGCTACACAGTTGTATTTGGAACTACAATTTGGCTGCGCAGTAGTTTCTAAAGCACTTTTAGACTGCGCAGTTGTATTTGCTACTATATTTTGGCTGCGCAGTAGTTTCTAATGCACTTTTAGACTGCGCAGTTGTATTTGCCACTATATTTTGGCTACACAGTAGATCTTATAGTAAAAATTTCACTGCGTACTATGCAGTTTTAAAATGTACTATAAGATCTACTGTGTAGCCAAAATGTAGTGTGTCAAATACAACTGAGCAGTCTAAAAGTACATTTAAGGCTATTGCGCAGTGAGAAAAATATACTGTAAGATCTACTGCGCAACTCAAAATTGTAATTTAACAAACAAAAATTTAAGAGATACTTAAAGAAATTTTTTTTTTTTTTAAATTAACATTTGAATATAAAAAAAGAACGCATTATTATCCATCTTAGAAAGTCGATTATGTACTTAAAAAAAAATACTACTAATGCAATGCAAACTAGTCATTAGCGAAAAATGATGTTGTGCTCATCTGATGTATACTCTTCTTTCATGTTTTGCGATTCGCATAAATTTTGCAGTTGACGAGCTTTCTCTCTCTCTTTCTCTCTCTCTCTTTGGTTCGAAGATTGGAAAGATATTAGTGAATTTTCTTTATACGATGCGCGCTCATGATGAGACGAATTTCTTTCGTTAGTTTGGTTTTATCTTTAAAATTATGACATT